ATGAGTCTACTGCGAGGCTACTATTTTCACCAACTCATCGCTGGGGTGCACTACTGCCACAGCCGTGGTTTTGCCCACCGTGATTTGAAGCCGGAAAACATGTTGCTTGACGCGAACGGAACTCTGAAGATCTCTGATTTTGGCCTCAGCAACCGGCAGCAGGACTTTTTGCTCGAGACAGTGTGTGGGACGCCCAACTATGTCGCACCGGAGGTTTTGATGGAGCGAGGCTACAATGGGATGTCGGCCGACATATGGAGCTGTGGCGTTGTACTGTACGTGATGCTTGCCGGACGCCTTCCCTTTGAGGATCGCACCATGAACGCGTTGCTTGCAAAGATTGAACGTGGTGAGTACCAGATGGTCCGCCACGTATCCGACGCTGTGAAGGACTTAATTGCGAGGATGCTGACGGTGGACCCGAAGAAGCGCATCACCATGGAGGGCATCATCGCCCACCCATGGTTTCAGGTCGGCTGGGACCCGAGGCGGCTGCGAGATGCTTAGGAGATTTGAGTGTGCTGTGCAGCTTGGACTCACCTTTGTGAGTGCTATGGAGGGTATGGAGGTTGTCCTGAGCAGTTGGAGCAATGAGCGTTGCGAACAGTGGGAATCTGGAGCCTGCGCTTTCATTGTTGATGAGGGTAATATATATAAATAAATATATATATATATACTGCTGACTGCCGTCCCGCAGAGGGCTTACAGTATTTTTGTGAATAAAGTTGGGGTCGTGGAGAGGCGCAGCTAAAGGGAAAGTGTGTTTACTGATTGATAAAAGCGTGCTATGCCTTTCTTAAGTTGTGAGTAGTTTGTTCTAGTTGTTGATTTCTGTTGCGCGTGTCTCCTCCCCTCCCCCCCCATCTGTCGTAGTAGTGTAGAGTCGAGGCATTGTTTTTTTTTTTTGCTGAATCACATGTTTCTTATTCCCCTCTCGCGTGTGCCAAAATCATTTGTGGAATGTGCGTCTGTAACTTCTAGACGGATGCACGAACTGAGTTGTGTGAATGTCTACAAGGAAGCTTCTTTCTGAATGGTGGCGGACCGCACGGGCAGGCCCCTCACTGTTACCGCCGACATGTTTCCGCTGTCCTTTGTCACGTCTCCAGGCGCACATGCCAACCCTTGTGCGTAAATATCTGTTGTCTGCACGCTCTTTTTATTTGTGTTACTTTAGAACTGCCTGCTAAGTGGGTCCCCCATTGGTTGCGGCTGCAGCCAGTGCTTTTTTTGCGGGCGACAAAAAAAGAAGGGCGCCGCTAGGGAGTCTGCGAAGACCGTGGGTGCCAGGAAGTATACAGAAATCCAAGGACGGGATGAGCGTTGGACAATATGTTTTAGGGAAAAAGATCGGCGCCGGCAGCTTCTCCACGGTTCGGCTGTGCACGGACGCACAAAGTCGAAAATGGGCAGTGAAGATCATTGATAAGGCCCGTTTAAAGCATGAGCACATGGAGAACCAGATGCTGCGGGAGGTGGCTGTAATGCGATCACTTAAACATGAAAACATCATCGATCTTCGTGACGTTTTGGAATCCGAGAATCACTATTATCTGGTGCTGGAGTATGTACCGGGTGGTGAGCTGTTCGATAAGATTGTCAAGGCGAAACGCTTTGATGAGTCTACTGCGAGGCACTATTTTCACCAACTCATCGCTGGGGTGCACTACTGCCACAGCCGTGGTTTTGCCCACCGTGATTTGAAGCCGGAAAACATGTTGCTTGACGCGAACGGAACTCTGAAGATCTCTGATTTTGGCCTCAGCAACCGGCAGCAGGACTTTTTGCTCGAGACAGTGTGTGGGACGCCCAACTATGTCGCACCGGAGGTTTTGATGGAGCGAGGCTACAATGGGATGTCGGCCGACATATGGAGCTGTGGCGTTGTACTGTACGTGATGCTTGCCGGACACCTTCCCTTTGAGGATCGCACCATGAACGCGTTGCTTGCAAAGATTGAACGTGGTGAGTACCAGATGGTCCGCCACGTATCC